CTAATGTATTATTTGAGTACTATTCATGATCTATTATTTGGCACTTGCAGAAATATAATTTGATGCTTACTTGGAAGAAAGCCAAAACACTCTCACTTAATTTAGTTGTTAATTGATGGTAAATTGGTTTATTCCTTGTCAATTAAGTCAATTAATCTGCGATCAATAGCAATGGCTACATTTTGAATACTTAAAATTTTACTTTTGATTTTGGTATTCTTGCATTTAAGAAATTTTCTTTAAAAATTTTTATTTTTTAAAGAAATAAGGTCTAGTTAATACTAATTTAAATTATTATTAAAATACTAAATAAAAAATTTAATAATTCATGGTTTCAATTGAATTTCTGATCCCGGGAGATGGTATATAAAAGTTTTCTAATTATGTATACGTAAGAAAAATAAAGAATATATAAAAGATTAAATTAGCAAGGTAAATTTCCCGTCTCTATTCTAAAAAGAGTAACTCCTCTCTGCACTGCATCATTTCGAGCCTATTCTATGTCACATGATTCTTACGTAATTATGATGATATAAATGGAACTAAAACTCAAGCAGCCAATAATAATTCTACAGCATTATTAACTATCCAATCAAAATGCTTTGAGAGGCAAAACTAACTCAGTTTGACTTAAGATTTCATCCTGAACATTACACACTTGCTTTCTACACTTTTTCTACGCTACACTGCTGCTGCTTTCTTGCTACAAAGTTATCAAAAATGTAAGCATTTTGGAACAGGCCCATTTAATGTGTCGACTTGTGTGTAGCCGCAACATGTTGTTGAAAATAAAACTGAAGATTTAATCTGCCTTCGCCTCCAATTTCCTTGTTGTTATGGATCAACACGTCTACGGCATCAAAATTCCTGCTCCTGAATATATTAAAATGAGTCAATAGGATACATGTCCTGTGCATTGGAATTCCAGAGGAAATGTCATGTGTCTGCAATAACCAACCATCTCTTCAAACTTCCTTGTGTAACGGAAATTCTTAATTGATATCGAGTACCTGCAAGTCCAAAAGTGCTAATGCCAGTGAAAACAAAGTGTACAGCAATCTCTTAAATGTTTAGATGAAAAAAAGTGTTTTAAATCACCAAAGTGTGTCTGTTCTTCACAGAAGTGTTATCATCCAAATTGTGGCTATGACTGTGAAAGAGAATTAGTTAATTATGGCTCCGTCAATTTATGTGCGCAACCTGGAATCAGCAAGTCGTGTTAAAAGTTTTAAGTCAAAATTCATTCTTTGAAATTTAATCTAGCATATACGGTTTTTTCATAAGTGCAGCGTTGTAATTCCACAGCAATATAAAAATGTGAAAAAAAAAAATCGAATAACAGATTTTCTGCGAGTGCTTAAAAATGAAATCTAGTGCCAGCTTTTCAAAATTAATTCAGCGTTTGTCTATAGTAAAATGACGAATGTTCTCCGAGTGCTGATGTTTCAAATCATTCCAGTGCTTTCAAGGTCATCAAACTGCATATCTTGATCTGGCTCTCATGCGAATAAATTAGGATATTTTGCAGTTATAGGATTAAATATACACTTAAAGTAGGTGGCAGAAAATTATTTTCACTTCTGCTTTTGCGTAATTGAATTTACATTGGGAACTGATATTTTTTCTTAATAAATTGGACATTAAAAATGTAACACTATGATATAAAAAATGTAATTTAATGATATTAGAAATTTGAATTCTAATAATTTAGTAAAGTACATAAAAAATTCTCAGATTTTTAATTATTTTTAGGGAAGGCTATTAAGATAAGTTTTTATATTTTTGAAATTTTGTTCAAAAGTTTGAATACAAATTTTATAATTATTCTAAAAGTGAAGTAGATATAAAAAGTAAGTGAAATTAGTACAAATAAGTAATATGAAATTATGGTAAATGCATGCTAAAATTTATGGGTGATTGTATGTTGTAGAGTATGCTGAAGGAGTACTGGGTTACTAAACAGAGGCCTGTAATTACCTCTGTACAGTTGTTCCTTTTACCCTCTTCATGTAAGATAATGTTAGAGGCTCTCATTTTATGAGTGTATGTAATTTTTTAAAAATTTTATTATACCTTTTTTTAATTATGGAATGTATTACTAGTGCAGTTCTCAAAGGCCAGTTACGCAAGGAACGGAGGCCTTTTCAAGTAACTGCCTAGGCACCCTGGACTACCAGTTCAGAGAACACACTGGTTATGGATATGTTTGTTCAGAAGTATTGTTAGGCCTTTCAGTTTGGTAAAATCAGGAATTATTAATGAAAGATGATAATGGTGAAACCATAATTTCTGAAAATCTTACTCCTATTATTTGTGGTGATAAATTATATCAATATGGAAATTAGTATCATCAAAATTTATGTTTGTTACATTTAATTATAAGTAATGAATATGCAAAAGTTTATTTTGTGATATCTAGGATAACAAGAACCTTCCCTGAAGAATTATGATTTATGTGAACTCTCAAACAAAAAGACTTTTGGACTGAAATGCTGAAAAATTCAACAGGACTCTAAAAATTAAAATTTATTTCAGAAAATTGATATATTTAAATTGTACTTTTACAGGATTAAAGTTTTATGATTTATGTTTCTTTTTTTTTCATTTGTTAGAGCTTCAACACTTTCTCTTTAAAAAGGCTTCTCTGTCATTAAGCCTTTTTCTTCTTGAAGGGGGGATATGTAAGAAAAATAAAGAATATATAAAAGATTAAATTAGCAACGTAAATTTCCCATCTCTATTCTAAAAAGAGTAATCCCTCTCTGCACTGCGTCATTTCGAGACTACTCTATGTCACATGATTTTTATGCAATTATGATGATGTAAATAGAACTAAAGCAGCCAATAATAATTTTACAGCAATATTAACTATCCAATCAAAATGCTTTGAGAACCAAAACTAACTTAGTTTGACTTAAGATTTCATCCTGAACATTACCCACATTTCTTTCCACGCTTTGGCCTACCTACACTGCTGCTGCTTTCTTGCTAGAAAGTTATCAAAAATTTATACAAAAAACACGTCTACTACATCAAAATTCCTGCTCCCAAATCTAATAAAGAAATTTAGAACTAATTTTTCACAATGACCATAAATTGAAATTCATAATTCACCTAAGTTCATTATTTTACTAATATTTAAAATTCTTTGGATTATATGCTATATGTTTAAAGGTAAAAATTTTGATTTAAATTTTTCACTGGAGTATTTTATTATTTCACTTATGTTTTCAATTCTTTAAATAAAATAGAATTCTATTTACTTAAAGTACACGATTCTAATTAGAATTTACTTTGTTTTTTTCTTGCTTAGGGAAAAGGCCCGAATTTTTGGGTGAACTATTATAATTAAAATACATTGAAATGGTTCATTAGCTAATTCTGGATACAGAAAAGCAAGGATTTTCGCAGAAGAGAGATTTCAATGGATTTCAATTTTTCTTTCCCCCCCCCCCCGATGAAGTGGCATTAAAGTTGATTGAATTCCTCTTCTGTTATGTTCATTTTTCTTTAAATTTCATTAACTTTTTGGATTGGGGTATTGCTTGTTTGGAAAGCAATATCCAATTAAAAAATTTCAAAAATACCCCGCTTCAACCCAATTGGTTCTACATTTTTGAAATTTTTTGTGCATTTATAGGATTATTTGAAAACTATATATATAAGTTCATTTTGGTCTTTAAAAAATTGTTTCTAAATGCTACTTATGTCCCAAGCTTAATGTGCCAAAAATATAGGCATGTTTATATTTGTTTTAAAAAAAAATTTTTCAATCATATAATATATATATATATAGTAAGCTCGCCTAAAAGTTACCAAGCTGCTGCTCCAAAAGGTTCAACATGTTTTAAAAAAATTAATACATATGAAAATCAAACCATTAGACATGTAAAACATTAAAAAAACAGAAACAGATAAAAAGTAAGCGGAAAATGGTAAATTAGCCCAATTCGACTTCCAAACTGGCTTTTCAAGGAAAATTTCATTTATTTGAACGTCAAATCAAACTAACCCCATTACGCGTTTCGCCGAAACAGACATTTGAAACTTTTTTGCTAAAAAATTTTTTAAATTTAGACAAAGTATCTTGGAAATTTTAATAGTCTCAATTCTCTGTTCCAATTTCCCGACACGTCCGCACAGAATGACACATTAAGGTGTTAAAATATGTTAAACAATACCTAAACTTCCTAAATCTAGACTAAAATCAAAATTAAAATCAAAATAAAAACGAAAATAAATAGCGATGAGCTATTAGTCCTAAAAATACAAAAACAATACGGGCTGGGCCTGCAAGCTTAAGATTAACAATTTAATTTTTAAATTATAGATTTTAGAAATCTGTAATGAAAACCTGTAATTAAAATAAAATAAAACAAAAATTAAGATGAGAACAAACTAAGTGGGTCTTGCTAAGACCAAGAAAAGTTGTAACAAAAGAAACAAAAACTGACCTGTGGCGATGCAGAGCTCTCCCTCTTAAAACTAGTTGAAAAGTGGCTTGCAATTCCCTTCGGTGTCTCTTCAGTTCGTGATGACGTATGTAGGGGGGAGCGAAGTTCTGTGGGCATTTAGCCAATACGAAGAGATTTTCCGTTATCTGTAACTCGTCTCCTATTATCGAAGGGGGCCGGAAACCTCGGAAAAACGTGTAAAGATCTCAAAAATGGCGCTTGGCTTGTAGTAGGATGGAAAAAAAATATATATATAATGATTGGTGCAGCAGATTGCAACAAAAAAAGGAGGATGATTATATGTTATAGCAGTCCCATATACAAAATTCCAACTTTCTACGGGTACTCGTTCTTGAGTTATCAGAGATACGTATGTCAAGACAAAATTTCGTTGTCAAGAAAAAAATTCTCTTCCGAATCCATTTTACAATCCTTTTTAGCAAAATCATATATACATGTTGCATATGTTACATATTATCATGACACTTTGAAATAATATTACAGAGAAGTATTTAAGAATTCATATTAAAAAAAATGTGCACTCACTTTAAAGAATTTAATAAACTTTTCAATTCTTCATTTTGTAATTTTAAAGCTTCCAATTCACCCAATGCACGAGATAAACGAACAAGTATTTGCTCATCTGGTTCATTGCTATGGAACATTGGACCACTCAATAATATTATAACAATCAGCCATGCAGCCAAGAAACCTACAATTAGCCTTCCAATGCTGAATACCATCATTATGTGAGTCTTCTAAACACAAAAAAATAATATTTTTTATAACCATGAAAGAAAACAGCAAAAGAACAACATAACTGAGAATTAGTGACACATTTATTTCTTTTTATAAAAAGATATATGTAAATATAAAGTATACATACATATTAAGATAAAAAAGCTGATATTTCGCTCGGTGAAAATTTCAAAGCAAATGATACATAGCACAGCCTAACCTAATGAATGTAACCGTCCAAAAATTTTCAAAAAATTTGAAAACTTTGCTAAGAATGTTTTTAATATCAAATTTATATATATATATATATTTTTCCCCAACAGTAAAGAATTTGTCTCCTGAAAATTATACCTCCTTCTAAACTTAAATAGCACTCATGTCATTCCTTTACCATCACTGATAATTCTATTCTTTCCACTTGGCAAAGGAATTTAATGATTTAAATTACTTTTCTAGGTACTTATGTATTAATGCAACTACCTTGGTGCAATCTGGCAGTTTCTTATAAAATGGTAAAAGTTACTTACCAGGTGCAAGTTGGTGGTTTTTGATCCATTTTTTAGAAAGATTTTCAAACCATCAATATTTATTGTTAAGTTGGTAAACATTATCAACATATGAAAAGGAAACATACTTTAGCAATTTAAAATACAAATTTTAATTATTAAATAAGGATTACGTAGTACATTAAAAAAGTAAAACACTTATATTCCTCAAGACTTTCTGTAATTTTTTTTTAACTATTCTTTTGATCTGTTTTCACTTTAAAAAGCATCAGAGAATTGCAGAGACTTGGCTTGGGTACAGCAGTTATCTTGCAAACCTTGGGTACAGCGGTTATGTAGGAAATGCATTTTCTCATTGTTCCTTTTAGAAAATTTCCTAATACTGCAGAAATTTTACTTCAGTTGCTTCCATTGCTGTCAAATTCCAAAAGCTCTTATTTTAAAACGAAGTTCAAGGTAAAAAATATCATGATTTGTTTATAAAAACCATTGGAACATGGAATACAACAATAAAGAATTCATACAAAAATGGTGGCAATGCTTGACTGAAGTTATGAATATGGTTGACACATTTGGCACATTCTGAAAATTTCGCAATTTCTATTAATGTGGTTGCATTAATACATAAGTATCGAAACAAAAAATAATTCACACACACACACAGGAAAAAAAGAAAAAGAAAAAAGAAAGAACAACACCAAAGAAAATAATGATTGAAAAAAATGAACCTTTGCAAAACTGAAGGACAAAATATGGTTGTATAGAGCAAGCAATGTCTCACCTAATTAAGCAGTATCGTCTCCTAACTGACAGGCCACAATGAATTACACTTCACTTCTGAATGAAGATAAGATTTGTTTTTTCCCTTCCATTTTTGTTGCCAGGTAACACATCTTAGAAGTAAGTTCATCTGCATGCAATGACTATTGTTACAAGCAGGAGACAAACTTCCTAAAGCAGTCATTGCAAATTACATAAAATTCCATCTTTTTAAGCATCTTGGAGACATCAAAATTCCAGTTGAAAAAAACTGAAGAGTATTTCCAGCTATGAAACTCTCTACAGAATTAAGTTCAAGAATAGGTATAGTAGTTATCTTTCAATTTTTTAATAGCAATAAGAATCAAGTAGATGTGATAAGCAAATAGCAAGACAGAAGTTAAGTGCTTCTTTATTATTGCAACCCTAGTTATTTAAATGACAAATTAAAAAGCATTGCCAAATGGCCAGTATTTCTAAGAAGAGGCAGCAAATTTAAATTTGTAAATTCAACTTCTGAATGATGGAAGTATTGATGCTGTATTAAAAACCACATGGAAATATAACAGCTATAAATTATATGTGAGAAGCAGTGGCGTAACTAGAACTCTTGGGCCCCTATGCAAAACATTTTCATGGGCCCCTTTCCCAATAAATTTAATGAGCTTAAAAAAACAAACAAGAAAAAAAATCAAGGATTCCAGGTGCCAATGTTTGCATGATGATTTTTATCACATCTGGATTAATTGTTAAAAAATGAAAGCACGTTCTCAGGGAACTAGTTGAAAGGTACGTAGCATGAAGAAAGAATAAAAAGGAAAATAATTTCCCTTGAGCAACTGGTGAAATGAAAATTTTGCTTTAGTCTGGGTATTTGACGTTAGATGATTTTAATTGTTACTTAAGACTTTTTGTGTGAGTGCGAGAGACAGATTTTTCTCTCCTTTCACTGAGATGCATACTGATAATAAACGAATAAGTTTATATAAAAAAAGGAACATGTCGACGTATAGCAATTAAGAAAAGGAAGAAAGCCTAGATTTGCGGAGATTTCTATATAAAATCCAAGAAGTTTTACATACTAATGTTTTAAAATTTTATATAAAATTTGCACCTATCTAAGTTTTTTCGCTTAAGTTAGCAAACTTAAAAATAATTAGTTATATTATAAAAACTGACAGACAAGATAATTGATAAATGTACAGAAAGGCTATTACATTAATGTATAGTACTCTGTGATATCAAATTTGGCGCAGTTCGTACCCTACCTTTCGAACATGATTTATGCAACAATATACAAGTAATAAATAAGAACTTTTATAATGTAAATGATACATTTGTTAAATATAAAACATATTTATCATAAACTTCATAAAGAAAACTATTTGAACATACAATTTTTGTAGAAAAGATGTATGGTAAAGTTTTTTTCTGTCTTTTTAAATAACCTTTTGGTACACTAAACTACTTGAATACATGATTTTTATAAAAAAATGCTAAAAGAATAATAAAGTTTTTACTGCTTCCTTTTCATTTTCCTCAGTCTGTACTGCTCTTCTTCTCTAATTTTTTCCTCCCTCAAAAGGTCTAATGATAACATTGGTAGCCAAAATTCATCATAAAGAAAAACATCCTTCTTTTAAAATTCGCGTCTCCTAACCTTCATTTCCGCAAAATTATTTATCAATAATTGGACGTCCATTTTCTCAGCCATCTCAGCGTCTACGCTCAATACTGAAAGGTTTGACAACCGATCTTGTGTCATGCTGTTTCTTATATATGTTTTTAAAATATGTTTTTATTAGTTTCAGTAGTGACAATGACCTCTCACTCGTGGTTGTGGTTACAGGTAATGATAAATACAATATAAGTAAATTGCACACTCCCGAATAACTGCTTGTCATGTCATAATATTTTACCATTGCAAATTTAGCTAAATCTTTAAAGGATTTCAAATTTTGGATTTCTGTTCTGAAAGTATTTATAAATAATAAAAGTTGTACTTCCAGTGCAAGTCTTCTTTATATGTTTTCTGTATTTTTGAAACATTATTAATAATTTCCGTATTTGTTAACAATGACAGTGTTTTAGGTTTCTTATTTCTCTTTTATTTTTCAAATTTAATTTCTATGCCCCATTTATTTGCAATAAACTTAACTTCTTTCATAATGTCTTCAAACTTGTTTCTCATAACTTGCATATTAATAGAAATGCTTTTTAGATGTTGATGAGCTCCATTCAAGTCGATTGATTTTCGAGCCGAGTGATGGGTTGATCGATCCTGCACTATAGCGCAGGACGTGTTTAAAAATTTTTGTTTTAATTTTGGCCTTTTATGATGTTTCTTAATGTAAGGAAACATAGATTATATTTATATTTCATATTTATCATAAAAATATTTCATGTTAATATAACAATACGTTATTAATATTAGTAGACATTTGCATTGTTAATGGTGATAATTTTGGATTTTTCAGATAGATGTATTAAAAGTTTAGCTGAATTGAAGTTTTAGCAAGTTTTAAATTATAAGAATTTAGTTTATGATTAATTTAGATATTACAAATCAATAACTTACCTTTATAATGAAGAATTATATTTGAAATCACTTTGAAATTTAATTTTAAAGAAAAACTTCTGTTTGTTCTTGCCATAGACTAGAGAAGTGGCATTAGAATAAGAGCAAGTTTAAGTTCAGTTTACTGTTCTGAGTCATCAGCCAATTTACAAGTATACTTGAGGGGGTAGCGTTTCACACTTCAATGCAGCTGTTTAACGAAGAAAGGAACCCCGCCTCCACTATAAATTTCCAGTGTCTCCCCAAGTTGAGTCACAGTAAAACTTTCATCCAAGATACTCTAAAGATGTCCATTGTCCATTTCCCTTTTAAAACACTGAAATATCTGTTCTTTTTTTCTTTTTTCCTTCAGTCAAATTGTACTATTATTATTGTCATATTCCAATGATACATAATACATCACCTGCAATATCTTTCTACATTTCCACTGTACTATAAATGCATTTCAGTTAATGTATAATTATTAAATATTTAACAGTAAAAATCATGGATATTCGAATATTTTTAGGAAATTCTTCGCAAGTTTACTATGGAATCATAAACAGGTAGAAACAAATTTTATTGATATGTATCCAAAGAGCTTTGAAAATTATTGTGTAATACAAAATGGAAATTTTAAAATTAATCTAAATTTAAATACCCACTCTAGCAAAATATGACAATTCCCTTCCAAGTTTCAAGGCCCCAGAAATGTTTAATAATTTAGAGTTAAGCTTATTGATACTAACGTATATTTGAAGATGAGTACTCACACTCTGTCGCATGGATTCTAAAAGTAGTACACATAAATATTTATTTAGGAAACAAGTAGAAAGTTTCTTCATAATTAGTAAAAATAAAATTGTATGAAACAGGTTTTGTGTACTTGTAGAGAAATGCGCAAAACTTCATTTATGAAAATAGGTTTTTTGTACCCAGGTGGATCAGAAAGGAAAAATCAGTTAAGAAAAGCAGATTTATTTTAGAAGTATTAATATTTATGATTATTGTTATGTTTTATTTGCGTCTTAGAAAGCTATTTATGTCTCAGAAATTAATGACCTCAGATTCCCAGTCCTTACATTGCTTATAAATTAAGCAGTATCAATTTTTTTATATTAATCATTAATTTTTTAATGACAAAAATATAAAAAATAAATATAATGTATGGGAACATATATTAACGGAAGCTATTTAT